AAATAAAAACTGATATATATAATCTTCTCCCAACAACCCAGCCTAAGCATATACAGTGAAGTCCATTTAAACTGAAATCTGTAGGACTGCCTGATTTTTCTTTGGCTTACCCGAGTTTTCGGTTTAAAGAAGTTGCTCAAATTGAAATCAGGAAAAAATTTTTCTTTCGATTTACCACATTGTTTTAAGATTAATCATGCTTGGTTTAAGTGGACTCCACTGTGTATATACCTGTCTGAGCATAATGGAAAAATCCAAGAGGGGAAAAGATACATCAGTCCAAAAGATGTTTCCAGTCACGTCATTATGTCACCCTGCCCAAAAGTTTTATAACTCTCCCGAACAATCTTCAACCAAAATTATTAGGCAAACGTTTTTTTTTAAAAATAAAGATTCATGATGTGCTCTTCACCTATCATTGGAGTGAATTATTTCACCATTACTGATTAAGCGAAAAGAGTAACAGAATACATTCACAAACAAAATAACTTAAACAGCGGAATCATTGAAAGAAATATGGAACAATTAAAGCTTCATGCTACATGAAAATAAAAACTTTAATATTCAATATTATGAGGTATATTATGGAAGAAAGTCAGGGAGGTTTAAGCAACATCACTTACATGCTCCCTTAGAGGCTTCAGGCTCCTAAAAATAAAAATTAACCATGGCCCCTGATAGTCAGATATTAGAGCTACCACAGTCTGAAAAGAGCTTTAGCAGGAAGGTTTGCAAGACCAGAGTTACAATAGTCCAAATTTAGAGCTGGATCCTGCTCGCTAAATCTGACAGTGGCGATTCGCGATTCAGTCGGCTTCAAAGAATCGGGAGTTCGCGAGCTCTCGAGGAACACTAAGCCTCGGGCCCGTTGTATGCGTGAGATGGAACAGTGTCATATCAACGCCACTTCGCAAGTCCCACTCTTGTTACCCCGCCATCCTCTCCACCCCCCACCCTTCATTAGGAATCATTGCGCTGCTCTGCTGACCTCAATTAGCGACCCCATAAATTCCCCCCCCCCCCCCCCATGATTTGCTTCTTTTGTAAAATAAGGGGAGCCATACTAAGTGCTCCGTTTCGTTCTTGCGCTCGCAACTCGACTCGCGACCCAGCAGTAGGTTACAAACAAGCCGCAAGGTGGTGACAGCGACAGGGGAGTGAACCGGAAGGCGATACTATTCCGCTGAAGTGAATCGCGAATCGCGTTCCGCAGGGAAGAATGGCGATTCAGTTCCGTTCTCGCGCTCGCGACCCAGCTCTACCAAAAATGGACAGGACAAATTCAAAAGGAATTTGAGTCTTGATACAAGTTTCACTTGAAAGACAAATAACACATCTGGGCGATTATACACAGTGCAAAATTAAAATATTGTCTTGCATATATATATTCATATTGTAGAGATATAAAAATAATGGTACAATGATAATTCATTTTTACGTGACTTTCTTCCTTCCTGTGTATTATAAATTGTTTTTAAATATTATATTTTTGTTTGCTAAAGTCTGAGAAAATAAGTCAACCATGTTTCATACATGATAAGAATAATTTTATATCATAACTCGGTACTTTGATCTTTGACTTCACTTCATGACTATTGCATGAATTTAGGCAACATTGATGCCAGAGGCTCAGGAGGCTTCAGTTTTCAATGCTTTTATACATTTTTCACACAAAAGAAGGCTAAGGTCTGGTGGTGAATAATCTCGCACCAGTCATCTACCTACAATTTTAAGCAAAACAGAGAGGCAGAGTCAATATCAGTAGGCATTAACAATACAAGTAGTATCAGACGGGACTTGAAAACAACATGAAATTTTTGGGTCTGAGGACATTATAATATTATTATTCCAAAGATGAAAGGGTTTAGAAAATTTAGCACCTTGATGAGCCATTTAATGTGCAGTTAACATGAAAATCTTATAAAAATTAAACTTTTCAAGAAAATCGCAAGAAACTGTGGACATGTCGAGAAAGTTAACAGACTATAGAGGAGGATTAAGAGTTAGTATAACAACAACTAAAACCACTGTCGGACACATTTGAGCCTAGGCCTATAGAATTTCTCCCAGAATTCTTATTCCCTGAAAGGTTTAAAAATTTCAGGCAATAAACAGTTCTGGAACTGGTAAAGCAAGCTACACTTTTAGACTAAAAAAGGTAAGTAAGTAAAAAAGTAAGCTTGAACTCTCCATTAAAAACTTTCACATCTCTGCTCCTGTCAGCTGACAAAACCCCTTTTTAAAAATTAAAATTCACAGTAGTTTCGAGAAAAAACATGAACCATTAAAGAAAAGATGTTCTTCCGATATTTGAATTCTAATTTTTATTTTAAAAACTAGTTACAGTTTCACTTTGATTTTTTTCACACAAGTATGGTAATTGATCAGGCTATCAATATAATAGCCCCCCCCCAAAAAAAATATTTAAAAAATTGGCGCCACAAATGAAAAAAGGTGTTTTGTCAACCGAGAGCAGATTATATGGGGTCTCCCTGCTCCCAGTGGGCTGGGCCACATATTTTTAGAAAACAAAATGAGGTTGAAATAATACTTTTATTTACTTTTTTTGAGTAGCGTAAGTCATCATTGCAGCAATTTAACAGAAAAGGTAGGCCTATAATGGCATGACACATGGTCCACAGACTCTCATACTCATTCACACTCGACTAGTAATATACTACTCTATGATTTATAATCACTAAACTAGTCTAAGTAGACTCTATGAAGGGGTCTCTATGTCATCTCTCCCAAGTCTTGTGTCACATATATTATATATACATATCTAAGAGATCAGTGATTAGCCACCAAAACTAGTGTCAATAGGGAAATCTGCCATTTCGTCATACACGGTCATCTTGTCACTACACCCCAATTATGAGTGACGAAATGACTTCACTTTTATCTCTCCAAAATTGTATGCTAGAAGTAGAAGAGTTTTGGAGGATCAGTGCCACCAGCAGTCTTTATCCTAAATCATCAATTCAAGCACATATCGTTGGGCCGCGTCCTCTTGTTTTTAAGTAATTTAAGCCAAACTTAAGATTTTTAAAAACTTATATTATTAATATTATATATATATTTTAATATTTCTTTTTTAACGTAACTTAAATCTTCGTATAAACTGTTCCATTGTTGAAAAATATTTGTTTTAGCAGAGGTTATAATGTATGAGCGTCAAATGAAAAATAGTTCAAATAAGGCAAAAACAAAGTCTGGTAAAGAGTTAGTCAGAAGGCTTCATTTGAAAGTAAGGGTCTAGGTTTTAACAAAATTGCAGATATAGCTAATTAATTTTTTTAACAGAACTAATTTAATATCTTGCCAATCATACCTCTCATTGAACAGTTTTTGATTCTTAGTTTCAAACACCATCCCACCCTCCCCTAAAAACTGGTTTGCGACTGACATGAGAATCAATCAATCATTCCAATGATAGTGTTTGATGTTTGCAAATGTGTGACGAAATGACTGTCTCCATTCAACCTTAACCCTCATCCTGCGGGAGCCGGGTTTATGTCACCCGATAAGCCTATTTCGGCACCTCGCCTACGTTCTGGTCCCGAATCAGTGTAGCCCCTGGCTCAGCGCATGCGCAGCGCGCATCCTCTTATGTGTCATTCGGGTCCAGAGTTGGATCCCCATTCACGCAGGTCAAGTGTGTGTGCGTCAGTCTGCTTGAGTTTGTGTGCGTTTGTGGCCTTCTTCTAGAACCGCTTGCGTTGGTTCGTAATCGAAGCATACGTCTCATTCAAAACATGCCAAGTTGGTAGCTCTAGATGTTCGTCCAATGAAATTATAGAAGAAATTGACCCACTTAGACATGAGGAGCTCGAAAGGATAGTCAGGAAACAAGACTTCCATTTTTCTCTATACAACATATTTTTAAAATGAGCTTGATTTTGTATGAAATGATACTACCTGATAAAAAATTTATAAGCTTGTTTGATAGTTTTGAATACCATTGTGCAGGTACAAAGAACAATTTGAGTGTAAAACATTCGGAAATTGACCTAAATTAGCCCCTTTCGAACCTCAGGTCATTCATATCAACAACAGCGTCCATTCGAATGGGCGTAACTACTCGTAATGTCAGCTTGTGAGAGGGGGTTATTCATGTGTTTGTAACACTTTATTTTATAGAAAGCTATGAAAGATAGAGCGTTATTTTCATCATCGGTTATCACACTCCTGTGTGGTATTCATGGTGAAAACACACGTTTCCCGGCGCACGCGCTGTACATCAACAGTACACACTGAGTGACCCCGGCGGCCTGCCCGGCACGTCCGACGTAATCAGTTGCTGATAAGATACGCATCTGGGCACAGACGCAGGATAAAAGAGTTAAAAGTGTGTTTGGGGTGTGACAAGATGACTGGGACGTCTTGACTGCATCGCTGTGACAAAATGACCGTGTGATGAAATCGGAAATGACTGGTAGACCCTACTCGTCACTGGTGAACTACAACACTAGACTAGTCTTGACTGCACCGCTGTGACGAAATGACCGTGTGACGATATGACTGGTAGGCCCTCGTCAAAAGTCTACACTGAGACGTAATTTTGCTAAGTAAGCAGACTCTAGGTACCTCTAGATCTAGATCTACTCCACTGTCATTCAACTTCTAGATTCTAGACTCTACTCAAATTTTAGTACTTCACTAGAAGCTTTTTATCCTCAGATTCAGGACCAGGAACTCCTAATCAAGAAAGTAAGAGACCACCGAATCTCAGAATTAACCAGCTAACCAGTGAAAGGGGATTGACAGTTCAAAGACATTTCAAGATAGGGCAACAAAAGCTGTCACAATATTTAATTTTTAAAACAATTGTTTAGGAGGACACTCACTTTTATCAAAATATGGTTGTGGTCATGGTATGGTGGCCCATTGACACTCAGATTTTCAATACAAAAATAAAGTAGCAGAGTAGAGTCTACTGACAAAGTCAAGCCACAGGCCTAGTCTAGTCAAGAAAAAGAAGGACACGAGAATCAAAATACCAGTATTTGACCAGCGCTGTGACTTGTAATGGATTTGGTTGATCTGGATAAAGACGTCGGCATGCTGAGTATATTGCCTCTAATCCTGGAGGAGTGATCGGCACGTTATTTGACGAATATCCTGAAGCCAGTCGCTCCCTGTCTTCCATCTTGGCCTGTGGCATTCTTCTGTCTCACAGTCTCACTGTCAGTGTGTGAAGAAAAGAGAATGTGTTGAGGCTGTTCTGACCTACTTATTTCTCCTACCGATAAGATGGGATCCCCCGAATGTGGTTTTGATACCAAGTCAGATGTGGCAATATTTTCTTTAACATGAATTCGAAACATGAATATGTAACATATCAACAATAAAAGTGACGTATTCAGATGTTTTGAATATAATATTTTGTAAACATTATTTTTTTCAAGTAAATAGTTTGAAAGATAGAACAGCGAAAACATGAATTACAGGCCCACCCGTGGCCCACCCACATCGTGAATAGGGCCTAGCCTAGGACAAGGCCAAGAGAATGAGTTCAGAGTTCACTCTGATCGCTCACGTCTTTTCTGCCC